TATATCTATATCTATCTATCTATCTTTCTATATCCACAGAAAATTTTCCTTCACAACTACATTTCTATGTATTCATGTATGATATTCTGATCCAAAGGAAATAACATAAAGCAATCACCATTAACATACAAAGCTAACCCTGAAATAGCTGTCGAACTTCCACAAAAACTTACAGCCTTATCAATTGCTCTAAACTGCCACACCCAGCGGTAATTATAGAGAAACTGGCGGTGATCAAAGCGATGATCATCAGGCGAGTATGTTTCAGCATGGTAGGCGGGAGTAAGAACTGTCATCTTGTGTCTGTTTACACTGTAGAACCTGAAGAACACCTTGACCTTCTCTGACACCTGTCGTGTTTCAAAGTATCGGAGGGTTTCATTTAGTAAGGCTTCTATATATGCATATGTATGTAATAGTATTACTGTACACACTTGTATTCTCAATAAACTACTACTTTTATTATGAACCAATGCACTTTAGAGAATTTTTCATGTAAATATCATAATTTATTGAAAACTCAGGCATGAAATGACATGTAGAAAAGGTATGAATGAGAATGAATATTTTCAAAATACAAGAGATGTATTTAACCGGTTTAGAATATATCTTCATCAAAAATACATGTATTTCTGACATAGATAAATTTGAATAGGGTTAAATACATGTATTTAACTTGTATGGTGAAGATATTAATTCTCCTTCATACCTTCCCTACATTTGTCAACATGAATACGGTTCATGAAATAACATCCTACCTCTTTAGGTGTACACTGATCAGACCAAAGGTGGACAAGTTTGCCAAACATGGAATATGGGCCACAACATTCCACTTTCCTCAGTTTGCCATAAAGTGAAAGTTCATCATATGTCATTCCCATATCTGCCTCATCTGTCTGTGCAAGCTTCCCTTCTTGCAAGGGTTCTAACTCAGCCGTGGGTGGAGCACCTAGGATTTCTCCTAAGACAGGTAGATTCAGTCTGAAGGTGTAAAAGTCAGATTTTACTGTCAATAGAGCATATGAATATATATTGTGTTTAATCAGACCTGTTCTTTAATATTGGGAACATATGAAGTTAAATTATTTGAAGGATAGCAGCCTCTACATTTATTCTTCATGTAAAAAATATATCGTAATCTATCTTAGAGACCAAACACACTATAGTGTGTGCATAAGTTATACAATTTATAGAGTTTACCATTGACACAATGTCATATGATTTGTTGTAACTTTACTAACTGTAGTTTACTGGCTATCATCTATGTTTGGTCTCTTTTACATCTGTTTAGTTTATATATGTTACAAAACAAAGAAAAGGGAATAGCTTGTACTCAAACATTCAATATTATCCTCAACTTCAACTGAAATGTGGGCCATCTTTATAAGCATCCTCTTAAAAGTGTTAATGTTGCAAAATCATTTACATTTGTATGTTTATGATATTTAACATTATTAAACAAAACAGTTCTGATTACAAACTATGAACACACAAAGCATAAATATATGGACAGCAACACAAATATTGGATACCGATCAATTAGCTTTTAAATTTGGAAAAGGGGCATGTCTTTTAGGTAGATATGAAATAAGATAAATATAGTTACACTATGCTTAAACAGCATACACACAATATCAGCATTATCATGGTAATGGTAAATATTAATGACAAACAGCTTAATTTTAATCCAATAGATTTGTGTTTAAAATATAATTTCAAGGAGGATAAAACTAGCTTCCATTCTACATGTATGTTATATGAAATAAAACAATGAAACAAAAAAATAACTTGCCTTTCTTTTGCCAAGTGTAAAAACTTCTTCAGATCAGACTTAGAAAAGCCTCCAATGGGGTTGATGTCAGCTGAACTACAATCATATTTGGTCATGTATCCACGAAGAGCTTCATCCACATTGGCAGATCCTAGCACTAGGAGACCACCCTGCCTTCCTCGTACCCACAACATCAACTGAAAAGTGATTTTTTCTCAAATCAAAGTCCAGATATACCCTGTGTAAACGTTTTTACAAATTCTGGATGTGCTTATGACAAGACAGAAAGTCTTGTTCATCTCTACATGAAAGTGTAATTTTCTTACTTTTAATTCTTAAACTCTCACCTGTGCAAACAGGTATGCGAGGACCATGCGGAGCCGAGCCTGAACATTCTGCAGAGCTAGGTTTTCCCTCACTGTCCCACCACGCACTCTAAACTTGGGAATGTGCCCTGTTGCAGCACTAAATATTCCCAGTGCAGCAGAAACCATACTATCGATTCCAATGGGAATATGGTAGCTGTGGTGAAGAAATTATGGTAATCTTTTGTCAAAAGAAAAGAAATTACAGAGAGAGGTTAAGAACAAAATTTCTTGTACTTATATACTAAAGATGAAGCAAAACTGAAACATTTTCTAAATGCACAGAAGTTATTACAAGTTGCTCCATTAAAAAGGTTTATAATGATTACATAACACACTAATCTTAAGTGGATCCACACCTTCC